TCTTGTCTTGGAGCCGACCGCCAAATCAAAACGTATAAAAACCATTAGTGATTGGCTTCGCGCTTTTCATATATTTGTTTCAATTTACACACAAAAGTCCCCTCATCGCGAAGATGAGGCACCCTCCTCATGAGGAACGATTGGCGTCGCTGCAGTTGTTGAGGAGGGTGCTTCTTCTGGATAATTTACACACATGAGGAGGGTGCTTCTTCTGGATAATTTACACACAAAAGTCCCCTTCATGAGGAGGGTCTCCTTCATTTACACTCAAAAGTCCCCATTCATTTTCATGGTGCTGAACAAGCATTTGAAGCACATAATTTGCGGTTGGCTTTAGACAATCCAGATGCGGTTGACTCAAAATTAGATAAAGAATTAGAGGCAGGCCGGCTTGCCGGCCCCTTTTCTACGCCACCATTGGCAAATTTTCGTGTTTCGCCTCTGGGCTTGGTTCCGAAAAAACAACCCGGCGAATTTCGCATAATTCATCATTTGTCTTTTCCTAAGGGAACATCGATTAACGATGGCATACCTGACATTGAAACATCGGTTCGGTATGCAAATGTTGACGATGCAATTCGACTTATAAAACGAGCAGGTCCGGGTTGTTTTCTCGCAAAAACTGATATAAAAAATGCTTTTCGAATAATACCTATCAATCCAGCTGATTACCATCTTTTGGGCATAAAATGGCGCAACCGTTATTATTATGACCACGCAATGCCTATGGGCTGCTGGAGTTCCTGTCGCACTTTCGAAGCGTTTAGCACGGCGATTGAATGGATTGCTCAGAAAAAACTCGGAATCGACAAACTCCTTCATTTACTAGACGATTTTCTTATTATTTCATCTTCGTATTGTGTTTGTAAAGCCCATTTAGAGTTATTTATTTCCCTTTGTGAGTTTCTCGGCATTCCCATAGCACCAGACAAAACATTGGGCCCCTCGACGACACTTACGTTCGCTGGTATTGAATTGGATTCACTTAAATGTGAGGCTTGTTTGCCTCGCGAAAAAATCGAGAAGTGCATCCAATCCATTGCCAGTTTTTTGAGTCGCAAAAAAGTTACTCTTAGAGAGCTTCAGTCTTTGTTTGGCCTACTAAATTTTGCTTGTTCTGTTGTTGTCCCAGGCCGCGCGTTTTTAAGACGATTAATAGATTTAACACGCGGCGTCTCTCGTCCCCATTTTTTCATTCGGCTGACGCGTAATGTCAAAAATGATCTTCGCGTGTGGCAGGAATTTTTATCTTCTTTTAATGGCAAATCCCTATTTTTGGACGATCACTGGAGCAACAACCATAAACTTAACTTATATACGGACGCATCTGGCGCTATTGGTTTTGGTGCTATATTCGGCCTTGACTGGTGCTATGGAAAATGGCCGGCGACTTGGCGGAATTATAATATTGCCATACTTGAATTTTATCCGATTGTACTCAGTTTATATTTGTGGGGTCACAAAATGCACAATCAGTGTATAATCTTTTTCACTGACAACGAAGCTCTGGTTTCTGTTATCAACAAACAGACTTCCAAAGATTCCGGTCTTATGACTTAGTACGTAAAATGGTATTAATATGTTTGGAACATAATATATTATTTAGAGCGAAACATATAGCTGGTAGCAGAAACATACTAGCTGATAGTTTATCTCGATTTCAGATCCAAAAATTTCTACAATTGGCACCGGCTTACATGCATCGATTTCCAACGCACATTCCATCTCACCTGCAGCCCGGAAGCTGGCCAATATAGTTGGCGATTTGGCTCAATCCAGCCTTCAACCATCTTCGATTCCAACGTATAGGCGGGCATGGGCACTTTTTACACAATTCCATCTAAATGTTTTTCACGTGGGCTCAGTAGCTTTGCCTTTGTCGCCCTCCGTCTTGGCACTTTTTATTGCTTATTTATTTGACCTCAACTACGCTCCATCAACAGTTAACACATATGTGTCTGCTATTGGTTATTCTCATCGATTGTCAAATTTACCAGATCCGACGAGAGTTTTTTACATTGTGCAAATACTTAAGGGGTACGGAAAAAAGGGCTTCCGTTTAGACAGTCGGTTGCCTATAACACTACCAATTCTCAACCGCATTATTGAGGCTTCGCCTCACATTTCTGGTTCTCACTATCAGATATGTCAATTTAAAGCTATGTGCTCATTAGCATTTTTTGCTTTTCTGCGGATTGGAGAAATAACGATCACATCATCACATAACCAACCCCTACAAATACATCAGCTCTCGCGGATATATGACACAAATAACCATGTGGCAGGCCTGAAGTTAACATTTCAAAATTTTAAGCATAATTACAACCAGCGGCCTTTTACTTTAGAAATTTATCGGCAAAACACAGCTTGCCCCGTGCAATTGATCCTTGACTATCTGGTTTTGCGAGGCACTCAGCCGGGGGCTATTTTTGTTTCACACCTCGGTACTCCAGTATCGCGTGACGAATTCGCCACTCAACTTAAAAGGGCTTTTCGTCATTGCGGTTTGGATACCTCAAAATATAAGTCACATTCTTTTCGGATTGGTGCAGCTTCCCACGCTGCAGAAAATGGTTATTCTGATGCGCAAATCCGTGCGTTGGGGCGTTGGAAATCGAACGCGTTTCTAAAATACTTGCGAATTTCTACTATATCGACATAACCCCCATTTCACCTTGATTTCTGAGCATAAAACATGCGGGGTGTTTTATCCTCAATTTTATCTGAAATTTCCCATGCATGATTTTGAGCGTGATTAGCAAGGGCAATCATGCAATCTGTCAGCGCCCTTTGGTTGCATAACTCGCATTGCACCGATATGTCATCAGCAAGGGCGATGTCGTATATTCTCTTACGTAGTGCGTATTGTGCAATTGACCTGGGTGTTTTACTTCGCAATTTTATCTGCCTGTTTAGTAAGGACAGACAAGGCAATCCAATGTTTAATTCAATGAAGGACTGGTGTGGCAATGTTGTATCCGTCAAAAACTTGGGCTTAGGCAAAGTAACATTGCATGACAACATTTCGCCTGCCGTAGTCTGTAAGGGCGGCTACATTTCTACTTTTTGCTGATATAAGCTACTTGTTTGCCTTCGTGGCCCATAAATCTCGCCGGATGAGCGTGCATTCTTTTTCCTTGGGGTGGGGTTTCATCTCCGTTTTGCTTCGATGATTTGGCGATAATCTGCCTCCACCCTTTTCTGGGCAAAATTGTTAATATTTTCATACATATATATTATTAATTATTGTTTTATTAATTTCAATAAATCGGCTAGGAGAAAGGTTACTCCTAGCCAAATTATCCCAAATTGTTTTATTCTTTGCTATTTAACATATACCCGGAAAACAAAGCTGCGGAAAAAGAATGCCTGCATTATTCAGTGGCTACATTGGCGGTAGGTGGTTTGTAATAAGGTGAATCACATTGCATAAAATTTGCTTGTGTAATTAAACAGAGCAGGCTTAATAGAGCCCAGTCTGTTTGCCCAGTATAGACTTGCTTAATTCCATAATTCTTGCACGGGAGTAACTATAAACATTTTTCTGCAATGTGCCTTATTTTGTTACAATAACTTTACTCTCTGAATATATCACAACAGCCTGTTCAAGATTCCTCTTGGATGAAACAGGCTGTTGTGGTAACCTTTTGAGGTAAAACAAACTATATCTGTTCCATACTGTATATATGGCATTGAGTACTCTTTAGCATTTCGTGAACTAAAGTGCACTCGCATTTGTATACACTGTTACTGTATTTAATATATGTTTATTTATGGCACTTCCTGTAACTGTAACATTCAATCAAATTGTAATTTAGGGACAAAAAATTGCCCGCGAAACATTGCCAAAATGTAGAATATCATATCGATGGCAATTATTTGTTTACAGTGATGTATTAAAATCGGAAGGCCTGCATAATGCCTATGCCGTCTGAAACCGGTCTTTGGTATTTTAGGGCAATTAAAACGCATGCATAAGGATGAAAATGAAGGAAATGTCATTTCGAAGAAAATAAAAGTTGATGTTTGCGATGTTGATCCATTAGACATTGGTAATTTTGTTGGAACTACACATGAAATTAATGACGACACCAAGCATAATATCATCAAAAATCATTGGCATCCACATTCTACATTTAATTTTCCTTTCCGTGAATTTGGTGCTGACCCCAAGAAGCCAATCGTCGTAGATTTTCCCTTCAATGGTTCAAGCGCTGGTCCTGGTTGTGTTACTCTAAACTTTATGATGGAGCATTTTGCCTTTGTTGTGTGTTATTTGGAAAGGAAACAGGACATAATGGAACAAAGCTAACCAATCTTTTTAAAGAGCTGTTAACAAACTGGCAAAGTGCTACAAAAAGGCTAGACGACCACGAAAAAATTCCTTGGTTCACCGTGATTCCATGCTGCGGTTATCACACTTCCAGAATGTAATGTCAGGGAATACAAAAGGAAGCAGGCTGACCATTTGAGAAGTGAGCAAATCCGGTACAATCGAAGAATTTTACGCGCAATGGTTGAGACAGTCATTCTTGCTGGCAGGCAAACTGTTGCGTTAAGAGGACATCGTGATGATTCACAGCATTACTCTTATACCAATCCAGAAAACTTTCAGGCATTCCTTAATTACAGAGTAAGTGGTTGTGATAAAGTCCTTGCCGAACATTTTCAAAAAGCAAAGAAGAACGCTACTTATCGGTCCAAGACAATACAAAATAAACTTGTGAAGATATGTGGCAAACAAATCGAAGGAAAAATTATTTCGGAGATCACTGGCAGCATTTGTCCAATTTATTCTGTGCTTGCAGACGAAGCAGCTGACTGTGGAAATAAGGAACAAATGCCGATTGTTTTGCGCTATGTTGACTCTAATAAAGAAATCAATGAGAGATTCATCAAGTATGTTCATTGCAAAGAAGGCACGACAGGTCTCGCATTGGTGATGAATATTGAAAACACACTGGAGGAGGTTGGGCTTCCACTTCAAAATTGTCGAGGTCAAGGATACGATGGGCCAGTGCAATGTCCAGCAGTAGTATTACCCCCCCCCCCCCCC